TGAAAACAGGAATGATTTAAAAAAATAATAATTTGAACAAAACAGAAAATATGTCTATTTAAATCTCTGCTACATATTTCTGAACACATTTCAAGAAATATCACTTATGATTATTAAGATTATCTTAAAACACTTAAGATTATGACCCTACCTCAGTGTCTATATGCGTCCAATTGCAAAAAAAAAACAACTAAACTGACGATAACTTATAGTTTCAGGATATTTTTTACTTATATGCATGTGTTATCTATAGGTACAAAGTCTATGTTGTCATTTGTGTTGTTATTCTTGTGTAACACCTTTATATTTGTGTAAAAAAAAAGAAGAAGACATAGGAACCGGTAGGCTTAAACATCTACAGTAATATCTACAGCAGATGAAGAGGATCTGAATGTGTCATAAAAAGACCCGACCGGGACCTGAGAGGTTCATCTGGACCCAGAAATGCTCTCCGTGGAGGGGCGGCTGTCAGGAGGCCATTCTTAAGGAAGTGGAGCAGGGAAGAAGGGCTGAGCTCTGCCAAAGGACACCAGATGTGGACCGAAAACAGCTCTGATGGAGGGACCAATCCTCCCCAGAGCCCGGACCCCAACATTACCAACCAGTGTGGGATCATCTGACAGAAATCGGACCAAAAGGAAGACCACATCCAAAGAAAAGCTTTAGGATGTCCTTAAAAAAGCCCAGGGAGCTGCTCCTGAACACTCCTTTACCCTAGCATGCCATAGGTATCATTTGATACATTCGGTTTCTGAAATATTTTGCATTTGAGACCTTTTGCATCATTTTATAGTTAAAACTTACATAGTAGTAAATTAGGAATATTCGAAAACTATCTATGTTTATTTCATAATCCTAATCCTAACCCTAAAGGCCAAATATAGACTTCTAACAAAAATACTAATAATTTTCTCACTATTTCCTCCTGGATCAGGCTTTGAAGGGTTAAATAAATGGCAGAAAGTTGTATCAAAAGGTTCAAAAGAGGGTTGAAGAACAAAGAAACTGCCTCATGTATTGTACCACCATCTATATTAGCAGATTTAAATTTATGTGTTTTCTGTTTTACCGTCAAAGACAAAAGACTGAATGGCTCACAACTTCCCTACAGTTATGCATGAACATGTATTTTACAGTTTCTACTGAATCTTTGCAAAACCTGTTAAACCGTTACCTTTATGCACAATTATGTAACTTTCCTTTCTACAACCATTAGTCATTTACGGAGTTAAATGCCATCAAAGCTTAATTATGAAAAAAACGCTTCAGGCACAGAGTCACAGGTTTCTCTGTGAGGCAGGAGAGACCAAATGCTGAAGGTCTTAAGTCAGAGCAACCGGAGAATTTCATTTCTAACCGATTACCAAGCACCAACCCAATCCTCAGATCAGATTAAAAGTAAAAGGCAGAACCATAATGGGTTACAAACCATAAAAGCAGCAAAAGAGTAGCGGACTGTCTCGAAACACCTCACATGTGGAAGCAAAGACAAAGGTAGTTCTCTAAAAGAAAGTCATTACGGAGAAGGCATTACTTAAAGTTCACTGTTTACTATTTGAAAATGTAGATACTCTCCTGCCTTAGAGTGTAATTATTGATGAACCCGGGATCTAAGCAAGCGCTAACCTTTGAAAAAAAAAAATCTGTCTAAATTTGTGCTATCAATCATGTTTCCCAGGTAGGATGTTTTATGTTTTCATATCTATTTCTTTTCTTTTTTTCTTGCCCGTGGTGGAAATAAGAATCCTTAAACTATTTCCAATGATTTCAGTCATCTGGTGTAGAAGCGCCCACAGAAAAAA